AGTTGCTACGTGCACCTTATACTTTGACAAAGTGGCCCTTGTACCTTTTATGCATTTCCCTTGTAAGCATGCCCTTTGAATCTGTGATGGGTGTCCCATCTGTAAGTTACACTTTTTTTTCTTTCCCTTTTTAAAAAAAATTAGAATACTTCGGTCTCAGAAAGGCCTCATTCTCTGAAATTTCAGATAATTTTCTCATTGCCCATGTAACTGGCCTGCATGGAGTGGTTATCTTTATTCTCATGTGCTTTCGATGTAGAAACTGTGAAGCCAGTCAGTGTGGTGTAAGGAAATACTTGTGATTAACTGATCATCCATAAAAAATTAAAAAAGAAACCATGAGCCTGCATGCATGTAACGCAGCAAAAAAGAAAAAAAAAAAGAAAAAAAAAAGGGGATATGGGACAGCGTAACAAGGGTTGCGTTAGTGGGGGGGGGGGGGGGGGGGCAGGGGGAAATTTAAATTTTATTTCAAAGGGTCTCAAATGAGAGGTGGTTTTATAAGGGGGAAGGTACCTAAGAGGGACATGTGAAAGGGGAGATGTGAAGGAATTTAGGGAATCATATACACAGTCTATGCATGCATATGATATACATGTACTCTATGCGCATATACTAGTCAGTAGGTTATTTATTTATTTTTCGTACCGCGCGCGCGCGGGTAATTCCGTACGAGGTTATAAACCTTATTATTAAGTAATATTTCAAAACAAATAATATTGGTTTTCATTCCAACAATAAATACAAAAGTATCAAGATAAAGCTAAAATTTATTTTTACCATGTTTATTCGACACAAGTAATAAAAATATACGCGATTATATTAAGCAGAAACGTTCGGCCAATGTCGGATAAGAACGGCGGCTTTCGAACGTATCTGCGAACGAGTCGATCCAGTAGATTCGTTCCGCGGAACAAATCGGCGCGCCGATTTGTTCCGCGGAACCCGGAACAAATCGCCTACCACACCGCCATACGTAAATGGCAGTGACGGTAACGATGGATTAGGAGGAAGGGGGTGCATACGTGAACTGCAAGCGTATTGGGGATGATCATACTATCATTTTAGAGTGTGCAATCTGGGTCGGAATCCAGCATAATATATTTATAAAAAAGAGGTTCACATAAAAGCACTCATGATAAAGCCGCGCCCGGCCCCTACAACATCATTTTGGATTTTCAGATGATGGGGCGGGTGGCAGGGGTAGGGGGCAAAGTTCGCCCCACTTTTCAAGTACCCCCCAAAGGGCCACTTTTACTTTGTAAAGAAGTGCCCCTTCCCCTTTTTAACTCGGATAAGCGCACATTTCATCAACACATGTGCCCCCTTTCCTATCTGATAAGGGCTATTTAGAAAAATGAGGCCCTTCATAAATAAAAAGTGTCCCTTTTCATCTCTGGTAAATGACCATTTTCATATATGAGAAGTTAATTCTTTTCACTTCAGTGCGCTCTTCACCTCCGATAATTGCCCCTATTCAAATTTGAGAGATGCTCGTTTTACTTTGAAAAGTACCCCTTCCCCTCCTGATAAGTACTCTTTTCATCTATGATGGGTGCCCATTTTCACCTTTGCTAACTGCCCTTTTATTTTGAATCGTGCCCCTTTTCCTTTCTAATAAGGGACCTATCCCCTTTTTATAAATGCCCCTTTTCCGTCGACAAATGCCCATTTCCCATACTCATAAGTGCCCTATCTCATTACTTTTTATTACTTTCTGGTGAGTGCCTCCTTTCAGGTGTAAGAAGTGCCCCGTTTGAACCTTTGATAATAACTCTTTGTACCTTGACACATGCTCCTTTTCTTTTCTAATAAGTGTCTTTATCCCTTTCGATATGTGTCCCCTTAACCTCTCATCATCAGGCACGTAGCCATGGGGGGGGGGGGGGGGGGAGGCACGGGGGGGGGGGAGCACGGGGGGGGGGGCAAGTGCCCCCTTACCTGCTCATCATTAGTTTTGCACCTAATTTAAAGCGACCAAGAGTAATTTCCGCTAAAGCTCGCTCGCTCGCTCGCATTTATAGATGATACAATTATATGTCACTTTAAAGAAAGAAAATGTTTTTTCAGTCTTCCGTGATGCTTATAACCCCATCATTATTTGTTTTTTTCCTCTTTGTAAGATGTATTTTTCACTCTGCGACCTCACAGATCTTACATTTTTTCTCGCTCGCTTTGCTCGCTCGCAAATGAATATTCAGACAATCACACCCAGCCAAAAGTGTGATGCTTAAGCAATATCTTGTATAATATATAAAGAAAAACAAATATTGAAATCGTCCCTGATAATGGAATCACAATGAAAGGGTATATACACTGTAAAAAAATAATAGTCGAAATAACTCAATAAAATTGAGGAAAAGAATTGCCTTATTTTTATTAAGTAAATATTACCTACGGCATCTCAAGTAGAATTTACTTATTTTGCTGAATAAATTTTTACTCAGTTAAATCGAGTTACATTATCGTAAATAATTTAAGTATTGTAATCATTTTAGATAATTAAAAAAAAGCTATGATAGGATTACATATTGCACGATTTGGTACCCATCTAATCTAACAAGTAACATCCACTAATCATTCACTACTTCTATTTAAGGTTAATCACTAATCACTAACACTACTTCTATTTAAGATTTAACCGTATATATATATATATCTACCACCATCACAAACTATTACATACGCTTCAATTCGACACATATTGAAAGGCTCCAAATTTTATATATACTTGATCGTAGCATCTTAAAGCTTATCTGCCATAGTTTACAGGAGGGATTACACTGGACATGTGGTTATCTCATCAACTCAGCTCTCAGTTAACATAAGAAAAAAGAGGATCATGGGGGACCAATGGTCACCGATTAGGCATTGTTTGTTATATAGAGGGCGCAAGTAGCTACAAGTAGTGCAGTGGGCCTTTAAAAGGAAAATTGGTTGACAATTTCCTGAAATATCAAGTTTTGATTTGTTTTGAACTGGGTAACTATTAAAAATTGTGTTGTCTTTGCTTAGCCATGTCAAATGAATTAGTAAATGTTTTAAAGTCCTTAAATTTTCATTCAACCACAAAAAAGAATTGTTTTATTTAAAAAAGAGTTTAATTTGGTCTTAATGAATATTCATAAATTATGTAAATATTTCTATTACGCACTGCATCGGTCCTTACTTTAAAAAGATACGAATAATCAACATAAATTGTTTAAGTAATACGTATAATTTCTGATTTTGAGTTAAAATTACTAAATTAATACAAGCTGAAATTACTAAATATTCCACGTATGTTCTACTAAATTGAAAGTTTGAGTTAGCAAGACTTAAATTTAGTGCGTAAGTGGCAAAACTAATGTTTTCAAGTAAATTTTACATGGAAAAAATACGTAACAATTACAAATGAACAAATTCTTTTTTAAAAGTGTACCAATGTCTAAAAAAATATATATTTTCGCTTTGAGATTTCGCTTTGTAGGTGCCCTTTTTTGTTGGTGCTTTCCACTTTGGAAATAGCTCCGCCGCCCCTACTTACGCATTAGCGCCAGCGTTAATTTCACGCTTGCGGGCACAGGGGGTGTCTGTGTGTGTGTGTGTGTGTGTGTGGGGGGGGGGGGGTTCCTCTCTAGCTCTGAAGCTGATTTTTTTTTCGGTTCGGTTAATACTTTTAGAGGGAGTCTGAGGGGTGATGTGCCCCCCCCCCCCCCTCTGAAGCTGACATTTCTTGGATTTTTGAAACTGGTTTCATGCGTTTTGGTTAATACTTTTTTGATTTCAAAACACCTGTAGTTAATGCGGAATGGGGTTGCAGCCTCTCTTTCCCCGAAAATTTAAAATTACCAATATGCATTTGTTATATCTTATCTCGTATATTTTGGTGACAATTAACACTTTTCACAACATACATAAGCTCAAATTTCCGCTCACTCGCTTCGCTCACTCGCCAATTTATTAAACCAGGAAATAGATATTTGGGCAAGAGGCTTCAGCCCCTACTGATGGAAATGTCAAAAAAATTGCACGCGAGCATAACTTGAAATGTTGGAATGTTGATATCGGACAAGAGATGTGACGTGAGCATGTCCCCTTTCCAAAATAATTGTGCCCGTTTGTAGGTACCAGTACACTATTAAAGTACAGTGCTTCTAATATGACATTGTCAGTATTGGTAAGTTTAAATAACGGTCTGCACAAAATTTCGAATTTCCGCCCCCCCCCCCCCCCCCTATTGGAAAATCCTGGATCCGCGCCTGAAGCTCTTTCGTTTTGACACGTAGAAACATGGCGCCATTGCACGCACATCGTTGTTACACGATTGCATTTCTAGTTTTATCCTTTGTTTCTTCCTTCCATCATCTTCTCTGATGTTATTCTTTGTTTTTATCATTCCATCACTTTCTCTTTCCGTCTTTCCTTATTTTATCCTTTGTTTCTTCCTTCCATCATCTTCTCTTATAAATGTTTTTTTTTCCTTCTTTCACCTTCTCTTATGTTATTCTTTGTTTTTTTAATAATTCTATCACTTTCTCTTTCTGTCTTTCCTTATGTTTTCCTTAGTTTCTTCCTTCCATCATCTTCTCTTATGTTATTCTTTGTTCTTATCATTCTATCACTTTCTCTTTCTGTTTTTACTTTCTGATTTACGCTGCGATGTAGCAAGATGACGTCATTATGACGACGGGTCACTAGTTTTCTGACGAACCCCAAATCATCGATGCACGGGTTCGCAAATTTGGCCTGACGACGCCAGACGACCCGACGCATGCGCAAATCGCCGAAATGACGTCACATCTACGCACAAATCATAGATTTTACTTAACTCTTTGGCTCAAATTCACTAACAGCGCTTCCTGTGCGGTCATTTTACCCGTGTTGTATAGTGGCTGATTAATTTGTTAGTGACTTGTTAATAGCGCTAAAAAAACACATGCGCGGCTGCCACAGGTCGTTGCCGAGCTGCCAAAGTATAGGCGCTTAATTAAGCATATCACATACACATTACATACAGACATGTCGAGGGCACGTAGATATGGAGTGGTTGGAATTATTTGCCTCATTATTATTTCGGTGTTAGGAATGTATCTTGACAACGTGGTAAGTAATTACAAGCTTATTCTATAAACATCGATTTTATATAATCAGTAGGATTTGTAGAAAGATTCATACGATATTTCATGGGCGTGACATTTTCTTGTCATTGGCCGTAACTGTGGGTGTGAGTGTTACGAAGGTATCGCTTGTATAATGGGGGGGGGGGGGGGGGGGGGGTCGTCAGGACACTAAACGATATTGCTTGTAAACTTCTTCAAGTGAGGGCGCAGCTCAGTGGTGACTAGTTGGCGTTCTTGTTTTTGTAGTAATCTGAATTTCACAAAGAAAATCACATTCCAGAAATATCACTTTTTGCCCTTTCATATGACACCTCAATCAGGAAAATTGAGCCAGGAATAACAAATTTCTGTTTGTTTAAAGTAATGCTTGCATTTCCATAATTTTATCAAACGAATTTGTTTTCACTGGCTGACGTGATTTGATCACAGTTTTTACTTCCTACATAAGGCCGGTTGTAGATCTGTTGCGTAGTATTTTATGGTATAGTATTCCTCAATAACTCTAAACCAGGAAGCTCAAATACAGTCAATCCAAAAACGTGCCCTGCGGACAATATTAGGATTAAGATATGAATCATACCGTTAAACGTCCAACATTGTCCAAGGTTGTATCTTGTTCTGTAAAGATTGACACATTTTAAGGATAAAAGGTTTTCCCTAACCAAAAACCATGGGTAAAGCTATATGGTCACAAATCAGAGCAGCGACCGACCGATCAGTAACCTGCTCGGGCGCTGCTGGAATTAGGCATCGCCCAGCGATAAGGTCGGTGCCCGGGCGGCGACCGCCCAGGCACCGAGCGTATTTTGGGCGGCGAGTGAAAAGTGAGCAGCGCCGCCCAAATTTTAACTCCGCGCTAAAACTTCAGCGGCGACCGAGCGATGCCCTAAAAACGAGCGGTGCCTGGAAGGCAGCCGCTCGGTGGCCGGGCAGCCGCCGGGCAGAATTGGTTAAAAACTCGCCGCTCGGCCGCCGAGCAGGCTACTTTTGGGTAATGTGGCCATAGCATTAGGAAGAATTTGAGGAATTTGTTTGTGCAAAGAAACAGGGCTTTCTCAAAACAGGACGATGATGAACTCATGTAGGGACATTAATCTTAACATTCAGAAAGAAATTGTTGATGCGAAAGAAAAATATAGAGAACAATTAGAGAGTTAATTCAGATTGGATTTAAATTCGGTTGGAAGTGTATGCAAACGATGACATCAGGTTATAAAACAAAACAGAAATCTCAAGTTCAAATGAAAATGTAGGATCGATCGAAGCATATGGGATCCTACAATTTTCAGTGATCGTTGTCGCAGTTGAAATCGAGTCTAAAGTTATGAAATATTAAATAATAAACTCAATATGTTGTAAACATGTAGCTCTCTCGCAAGGTCAAGAAGATATTAATTAAGCTCTAAAACAATGTTTCCTGACTAAAATCGACCGATTAGCCATTCCCATTTGGAAATTATATATCACAATTACATATTCTGATATTTTCATGGTCGCAGCTACCATTGTCAAATTATCAAAAATTTACCGGGAACACCGGTAAATTTTTATAATCAATTTTTCTCAAAAGCAGAAGTGTTTCAGGAGAAACATTTATAGGCTTATAATACATCCACAGGTGCATCCAAATGCATCAAAATTGCAAAGAATCACTATACACCCAATTTTCAAAATTTCCAAAAATTTTGTATTAAGTTATGATAAAACATTAATAATTCTTGGTTTCCTTTTTACTGGGACACACTGTAAAACATACAGCAAAAATACAAATTAACAATGATAAATCAAAAGTAAATATTTAACAGAGAATTTTATTGTTGACCAACAGTCTGTTGACTCGCCTCCCAAATTGAATACAATGCAAATTTGGAATGCTCTTAAATCTCGACTGAATAAATACTGAGTATAATCAAATGAGCAATTTATCTTCAAAACCTGACAGAACATTCTTCCATTGGGCTTCTATTGTTTCTGTTTTATTCTCATGGATTTGCGTATAAAATTTTGATATGATGAACAGACGAGGGCATTTTGTGCTCTATCAGCCAAGAGGGATATTACCCATGGATAAACGACAATTCTGAAACTTCTTTGGAACATAAATGCCGAAAGGGCATTTTTCTAATGAATAAGCCCATAAAGTTTCATATCCTCTTAGATGTAAGTCTATCTCGTAAATTTTCGGATAAAAGAAAACTTTTTGTTAAGCTGCATAATACCCGTAGATTGAAATCGTATAACAATTTGTATCAAAAGACTTTTGGCCATAAACTCATGAAAGCTGAGGGAGGGTAGGGGGAGGGAGGGGGTGACAGAGGATTCTCCTCCCCCCCCCCCCCCCCCCCCCCCCCCCCCCCCCCCACACACACACACACACCCTTTTAGGTTTAACTTATATTTTTAATCTAAACCAGGATGTAAACTACATACACATACATGCCAACATTTGAAAATCAGAAATCTGTACAAATTATGCTATTTAAAAAAAAGAGAGGAACAATCCTAACTCTTCAATACTACAGACAAATTTGTACAGGAAGAGGAACACCTGCATTAAAATGATAATTATCTTCTCCCAAAAAGAGGAATGTTCCTCTTTAATCTGAACAGTTGGCATGTATGCATGCATCCTGAATGAAACTCAAAATTGTAAAGAGGAACAGGTTCGGTACTCTTTATTCTATTCAGAGGAAGTACTGATACAATTACAAACAAATTCAGGAAGTATCGTAGGTATGTTACATATTTGTACAGGTAAATAGGATTACCTAAAGCTATGGTCACAAATCAGAGCAGCGACCGACCGATCAGTAGCCTGCTCGGTCGCTGCCGGGAATTAGGCATCGCCCAGCGATTAGGTCGGTGCCCGGGCGGCGACCGCCCAGGCACCGAGCGTATTTTGGGCGGCGAGTGAAAAGTGAGCAGCGCCGCCCAAACTTACCTCCGCGCTAAAACTTCAGCGGCGACCGAGCGATGCCCTAAAACGAGCGGTGCCTGGACGGCAGCCGCTCGGTGGCAGGGCAGCCGCCGGGCAGAATTGGTTAAAAACTCGCCGCTCGGCCGCCGAGCAGGCTACTTTTGGGTAATGTGGCCATAGAATTAGGAAGAATTTGAGGAATTTGTTTGTGCAAAGAAACAGGGCTTTCTCAAAACAGGACGATGATGAACTCATGTAGGGACATTAACATTCAGAAAGAATTGTTGATGCGAAAGAAAAATATAGAGAACAATTAGAGAGTTAATTCAGATTGGATTCAAATTCGGTTGGAAGTGTATGCAAACGATGACATCACGTTATAAAAAGAAGCAGAAATCTCCGCCAGTGTCAGAACCTAGATCTGTTCATGATACAGCCAATGAATTTAATACATTTTATGCAAGATTTGAAACAGTTCAATGCTACACCCATTGTATGACTCAGTACAGTGATGTTGTCATGTACTTCAAACGCACTAATCCAAACAAATCTATGGGACCGGACAGTATTTGTGGGAAAGTACTCAAAACATGTGCCTGACTATTAGCCACCCCTTTTGTCACTCCTTTATCTCTGAATCAAAACCATGTCCCATTGTGCTGGAAATCATCGACAACAATACCAGCAGCCAAAACACCCCTATCCCTCACCTCATTGTTGATGAAATGTTTTGAACGCATAATTCTTCAGAGGCACATTCTCCCATAGATACTGCCTGTCATAGATCCTCTACAATTTGCCTGCCAACAGGGCTCAAATTAATTTTTTGTCCACGGGGGCTCTTACCCCGAAAAAGGAGCCCCCGTGAGCCTTCTCACGGGGGCTCTTTTATTACTGACGGGGGCTCTTTTTTATACAAATATCCATTCAATTGGTACCTATGATACTCCTCAATTATTTGCTATTTCATCATTATCATTTCAATCAGCATTTTCCCTCTTACAAATTTACAAGCTACATAGCTGTTACTGGCCTGTGTATATAATATATACGCATACAACACTGATCTTTATGATGTCTTTAACGTGACATATCTTCTTCTCCCCTTGCAAACGAAAAAGAAAACATGGTCATTAAAAGGGATTAAGCGACAAATAATGATTGTAATTCAAATTGATGCGAAAATTTGTTTGAATATGGACAGTATAAATAGCATGCAGGTTGCTTGTTTTTTTAATTCCTACTGGAACGCTTTAATCTTTACACTGTAATCTAATCCTAATGTCCTCCTCCGCCTATTTCGAGACTTTCTATTCACTAGCCTCGAGTCTTTTTAATTCACTGTACGTTTAGCACGACTGATATCTTTGATCATACTTAATTTCACAATTGTACTATGTTTGAATTTGACCACCTGGAGAAGTTTCATAACTACAATACTACAATACTTGATGTTTCCTATCAAAAGTTTAGTATAATAATTTGTATACATGTTTTATATATTGGTTGTTAGTACAAGCCATGAGGATCTGTACATTTTAAAGTTAATTAATAGAAGGCTCATTACACATGTTTTTCACCTCATCTTTCCTGATATATTCCTCTTACTTACCTTTCCTTTCTCTTCCTTTCATTCCTTTCTCACCTTTTGTTGATTCTTGCTCCTTGCTCCTATTCCTCATTCACCCCTTCTTTCTTTCCATACTCATTACATTTTGATATAGAGTTTTAACATGATATTTTTTATATATATTAGGTCATAGTCCTAAGACTATTGTACTTTTAACTTGTAAATACATGTACTTTTAAATTGTATTCCAATGGCAATTCAGTTGTAAGACTGCGACGATGGAATTTGTTCAATAAAACCTTTCTATATATAACCTTTCTATAGAATAAGCACTGCTATTCACCCGAATCTTCTTTGTAAAACAACTTTTACAAATCTCAGCCATGCTTACTGAGTTGAGACGTTCCATTCAATTTAAAATACCCAGTACATAATACACTTTTCCAAATCTCAAAGTGATCTTACAACACAGTAGCAGAATTGCATGGCTGAGATT